CAAGTTTAATAATCTGATATATCTTGGAAATAATTCTGACTTGTATTTTCTTTTGATTTGTTATCAGTCAAACTCCGATGACTGTACATTGTTCTTGATATAATTTGCATACTATAAGTGGTGGATCGTATTATTTACAATTAAAATTAACGATAGTGGTTTTATGCATATATTTTCACCTGTCTATAATTATTATATTGACTGAAAAACAACATTTATCTTAACACGCCACAGTTAATGTTTATACATGTTATTGCTATAACTCTAAGAAACGCACCCTAAGGTTAATTATAAAATTAGCATTATATTTCATCAGTCCTTTCATGATTAAAATTCTTATTAAAAATAAAAGATGTGTTTTTAGTTCTATAAGAATTTCTGAATATGGTATATTTAGTTACGTTAAAAATATGCGGTAAAAAATTTTTACTATACAAAAAAATTAAAGAAATTTTGTAAACTGCATTGAAATTAAATAAATATTTCCATTTCATATGTATTTATATAAATTATCTTAAATATATATATATACATTTAAAACCAAAACAATAATAATTAAATAACTCATTTTATGAAAACTACAGGATATGCTTCAAGACTTATCAATTTACTACCATTAGAATATTATAACTTATTAAACACTAAAATAGTATACTTCTAATTAAATAAACTATAATATTATAAAACAATAACAACTAAGTACATAACGTAATTTACAAATTATTCATATAGCGTGTTTATTCGATTATAGGGAATAAATTATTGGATAAATTTGAAGTATATTAGTACAACGTTTATCAATGAGACTAATTGGTGTAAACGTTGATACGATTAATTAATCAGGAATTATGTTTTTAAAGAAAGTGCATTACAATTTACAATTGACGTACACAGTTATAATGTATACATAAATATTATTTTCATTAATATCACCAACTAATACACGATATTATTTTAGAGCATAAAATATACTCTTCGCATTAAACTTTTATAGTACATTTATATATCATTAGTTATCTTGTGAAATAATGGAAAAATAATAAAAACTATGAGGTGTATTATTAATCATTTTTGTTACAAAAACAAAAAAAGATAAACGATATATTATATATACAGTTCAGTCTAAATTGATCTTGTAATATTAATCTTTGAATGCTGTACGTTTATAAGCTGATTTTCAGGTTTATAAGTTAGCACATATATTGTCCGTTAAAAATAGAAGTGAAGTACGTCATAATGTGCCATTGATTCATATATGTTTCATACAAATTAATTCGAAAAAATGCCTTAAAATAATTGTAAAAATTGAATTGCTATATGCAGGTATTCTTATAGATGAAAATTACCGTTGTAATATTTTTACTACAAAATAATTTCAATTTATTGAGTTTGAAAAAAAAAAAATCGACGCTAGGTTTAATTAATAGTGTATCGAACTATGTATCGTCGTATGTTTTAATTAATATAAGCAAAGAACCTAGAATGTATTGGTTTTAAAGAGACAGGGGCTATTTTTATGATTAAACTTTTGGCTATAGTAAATTATTATTGTAAAAAATTGGTCAGTGAAGGTATTTAAAAAATATAATTTTTAGATTAGTTATTATTAAATAAGGTTAGTTAATTTTGTTAATGTCTTCTATACAAAATTCATGAATTACAAATGACAGTTGCAGAATTTTTTTTTTTTAATAAATTTGTAAAATTGTAAAATTGTAAATTTGTTTAAAAACACGCAAATGACATTTCTTGCAGGGAGAAATCTTATATAGTCTTCTTTGTACTATAAAATGTTTTGATCCTTTTATACTTTTACATATATATAAATATTCGTTTTTATTATTATTTTTCAAACAACAGTTTTCAAAATTTTAAATGTCTGTACATAATAAATATTATTATTTTGTATTTTGTTAATCCAAAGGAAAGATTATGTCATGTTGATTCATTGTACCTTAATTTTATTTTTATAAAAATATTTCTTTTGATTTGTAATAGTCACATTTGAATTTATTTTTTATGGTTTTCAACAAAATCAAAAATTACATTTATACGACAACAAAGTATTTGTTTACAATTTTATTGTATATTGAGTTATAATCAGTGACGCAACTTTGAACTCTGAAATCCATGTGCAAGGATTTATTTTGATGCCTCTAATTTTGTATATGACGCAGTAAAGTATATACTAACCCGTCCTTTTTAGTATTTCAACTTAAATTTAATAATTGGTGATCTTATACGTGTAATATAACAATTAGAAATCAAACTTAATTTAAAAATAGTATAGTTAACTACATATACCTTCATTGTCATTTTGTTTAAATGAAATTAATAAAATATTTTATTTCAACACTTACATTTTCTATTTTTTGGATTCTAAGTAAAATAAAGAATCTCTTAATTTTACAATAACTTATTTTTTTTGTGTTTATATACCTATCTACTCAATTTGGACTAGAATAATTGATCCGATTATTATAATCGTAATAAGTGTCTGATATGAAATGTAATATTGTTATTACTTTAATTTGGATAATTTTATGAACTTTCAATTAGTTTTTTAAAAATTGTAAAAACTTACCAAGTTGTGATAAGAGAGCAACAATTACGGTATACCAATTTTTGATAAAATCAAATATTGTTTTTATTGTAATTTAAAAAATAATAATCTTAGATTCATAGAATTTTTCTTGAATTATTATATTATTATTGCCTGTGGAAAGTATTTAAGAATATTTTTTAAAGATATTCATTTAAATTTTTAAATTGTGATATTTTGTTATTATAGACTTTTTTCGAATACATCGATAAAATAATTTTGGTTTGACAAAAGTCTTAAAAATTTAATAATTCAAATACAAATTGTGCTTCAAAAATGACTAGGCTTTGAATATGAAATCTTAATAAAACCATAAAAATCAGAATTATCTATTACATTTTTATACTTCAAACTCATAAAATTTTCAATATTTGTACTCAAACCTTAAAAATTTAACAAATTATTTTTTATTAGATTTTCTTTGTAGTCAGAAAAAAAAAGAAATTACTAAATAGTTCCATAAAAAATTATATAAGCATGAACATATATTAACATATATTAATTCGGATATTTCAATGATTATTTAATTGTTGTCATATAAATATTATTTGTAGAAACTTGAAACATTTATTGAGTACTTCTTATAGTGTTATAAAAATATTCGATGTATGTAAATGGCATTCATGCTAGGCACTTGAGATTTTTTTTTATATTTTAAGTGATTGTGTTTTAATAATGCTTTTTATTTCTGAATATTGTTACATTATTAAAATAAAAATTATTAGGCAATAAGTGTTGTAAACTATTTATTGTAAACTCAAAGTTTTACATTTTATCCTTACAATCAATATAATAACAGTCAATTGATGATTTGATTAGGTTAGATTATATTTGAAACTAACTTAAATAGAAAACCAAAATTAGGATCATAAAATTCATACATTTATATTATTGTATTAAAGAAATAAAGGAATTGTTTTGATTCATGTTTATTTATGAAGTAATTAAAATATTTTTTTATTTTTATTAAAAATGTAAAATTTCTCTTTTAAAATTTATAATAATCATGAAGTTGTATTTTGTAATTTCGAAAAAAAATGTGAAAATCCTAATTTAATTATTCTCTTAGTGATTCTCAATGTATTTAATATAAATATAATTTGAAAAAAGTCGATATTTTCATATTTTTTGTGTTGCAAGAATAATTTATTTTATTTTAATGCGGTTATAATAATTAAAATATACTTATAAATAATACCTAATATCAATATCAATAGTGTATCATTAAAATATAATAATAATTGTTGTAATTTTATTGCCCTTAAGTACTTGAATATAATCTGTTTGATAATTGTTCATATATAAAATTTACGAATATGAAATATTACAATTCTAGAACAAAGTACAACTACTCCTGAGTGTAGAACAATTTATTTTCATAAGATTGACCTAATATTTTTAAAAAAATTACTAATATTAACGTGTTAATGAATATATGAATAAAAAACACGGTATATACAATAATTTTGTTGCCGAAAAGGTAGAGTTATTCTATTTTAACTGTTGTCAAAATAAAAATATTTATACGAATGGAATGTAACTGCATGCGTACCTATCTAGCATTATTGATATATATATATATATATAATAATTATAGAAATTTTAGATGTTTAATCGGAGTTTATACATTACTATAACTATAAACACTACAACAGTCAAAATAAAATACACGATAAATTTTGGATATTCAGCCTGCGTTTTTTTATTTTTTATTAAAAAATAATCGATCACATTTATTTCATATTTAGCAAATGTATTAAATGTACATTTTTGGAATTGGAAAGTAATAATATGCAGGTTTGGATTTTTGGTCGGAGAAGAAATATTAAAACGTACAGGAGCTGCTATAATGTAAAACAAAGATAATCATCTTAATTATACGTGGTTTAACGTATCATATTGTTTTCTTTACCTTTTACATTGCATATTTTGCGCCAACACTTTATTGCTAAAACGATCGTTTAATATTGATGCACCGAAAATATTAGTAGAATAACACTGTGTTTAAAAAAAAAAAAAAACGATTACTATCTTTAAAGGAAGTGTATTTAATGATGGACCTGGATGATGTTGTGAATCGTATAACACATGGTATTATAAAATCGATATAATTTTGCAATATTGACGCCTCGGCCTTGCTCTTAGAGTGGCCTCTTTTAACAAAATACACTTGTGCGTGTGTACGTGTGTGTGTGTGTGTGTACAATGTTATTATGATATTACTATGTTAGTCGAGGACGTTACAGGTCTTTACATTGGCTTCTTACCGAATTCGCTGAAAATGGGAGAATAATAAAGGCCTACCGAAACGGGAAATGATAAGGAACGCCGGGCAACTCGGCAAAGGTGAGGAACAATCGTATTGTTGTTATCAGCGATTCTGATAGTTAAGTGTCCAGGGTTCACTTGTATGCACATTAGCCAGATAGCAAACACAAGTGTATTCAAATCAGTTACGTACCCGACCTCCAATCCGGTCACTCGAACATCTCCTCATCACTCAGGTTAGTATAATACTATTTATACGTATTTATTATTTATTCGTATAGCTGAATATGTTTTATATTTAAATCACGTTCTAGAAAAGTAAGAGAAGTGCGAGGATATTTTTTTTTTGAATATTATCGCGTTTTAACTAGGATAATATAAAACGTTTAGAAATTTCACACTTTTAAAATCATTATTGAACAATCTAATTGGTTGAGTATTATAAGAAAGCACTCGGAACTCACGACGTTATTGACACAGCTTATACTTTTTGAACTTATACTGGGCTCAATACCGTAATCATTTAATTTAATATGGTTTTACTGAGTTTTGGTATATTATTTAAGGACTCGATAAAATCGGATTATTCTTTGCCGTATTTGTATATGACATTTATTCTCAGAAATGTCGGCTTATCGAGTTAGATTATTTTCGCGTTGTTTTTTATACCTTCATACAATATTTACTTTTGTACATTGTTTCAAATAGACTTGATTGAAAGTATTTTTTTTTTAAGTATGGTTTTAAAAACAAATATGATTACATAAAACTGACTAAGTTGAAAAATCGTCTACATTTTAAGCAAACTTGTAGTTGTGTCGTAGACTATAAGAGTCTTGATTTAAAATTTTTTTTTTAAGGGTTTGATTCACGAACATGTTTATTGCAAGGGAGGGGGGGGGGGGTGAGGAAAAACGGAACCATTTTGCCCATAGCTCCAGTATAGGAAAATTTAAAGGGGACCATATTAAGGTCCAGATTGATCAGAAAACCCAATTAGAAAATATTGATATTAATATATTTTTATAAATTGTTTTTCTCTATGAAATATTAATAAATTTAATTTAATAAAATTAACTTCAATTTAAATTTAAATGCTATTATACAAGCTAGATTATTAGTTATTCTAATTTCTAAATGCTTGTAGTTGTAATTTATTATGGTAACTTCCAGAGTGACAAAAATGACTTAATCTTATCCAAAGTTACGTAAATGTCTAATATTAATCATATATATACATATAAAGGGACTTAATTATTTCAATTATGTATTTGTCTTCACATTCTCCCTACCATACCCACTTCTGTATCAATAGAAAAATGATCTTTTAGCAAATTAAAATAAGTAAAAAATTATTTACGTTTGACCATAAAACAAAACTGTGTAAATTATTTAATACTAATTTCTATTTAATACGAGTTGGCCAAGACTATTGATTATAAAAAATGTATAGATAAATTTGCTGAAGGAAAAACTAGGAAAATATGTTTTTGATTTAAATTATGTAATAATTTATAAATGCATAATAAAGTTATAAAACTGAAATTAATTAAAAAAAAAATAAATATTGATCTTAATTAAATTAATCCTTATTTGTAATTAAATAAATATTCAAGTTCTTATTTTATATGGCTTTTTATAAATTATTTAGGAATAAATTAAATTATGTTAATTGGTAATACATTATTGAGAAGTTATTAAAAATGTAATTCATTGTATCAATGCATTTAAATGACCTTGATTAGTTGAGGTTTGGAAATTCATATTTATCAACATTTTACAAACTTAGCGTGTATTTTTTTATCAAACTCTTATATTGTTGTGATTATCGAAGATCTTGAGAATTTATTTTCTTCAGGACCTAAAAATCGCCAAGACGGCTATATACATGAATTTGATAAAACTTGACAAAATTAAGTTTTAATATATGAGTTTTAATACCTTTTAGTAAGATTTGTTATTATATGTTAAATTTAAAATTTTTTTTATAATTTTATAAAATTGTCATTAATTGAATTATTCAATTTTGATTTAGATTTAATAATTTGATAAAATTCCTAATATTTCAGTAATTTCTATTGGGATTTTTATTTAACAATTTGATAGTGAGATTTCAATTTTAACAGTGTTACTGAAAAATTACTTAAATATTCTAAACGTAATATTATTGGTTAAAACACGTAGTTTGTTGTACAATTATTTTAATTTAGCTAATTATTTATAAGATATTAGTAATAATAATAATTTCATTAATAGCTCCTTATTCTTCTTAATTCTATCGATATACTAAATCACAATAACTTTTACATGCTAAAATCTATTTAATATAATAACTTCTTGGGATGAATAGCGTATGGACAAGATTTGTTTAAGTATATTAAGTGTTTAAAACTGAATAACAGTTGTAATCTCACAACTGATACGGTTACGTGTATCTAACTATGATAAATTAATTAGGATCATATTATATTGAAATAAAATAAAACCTTGTTTTATTGTATTAATATTTTTATGAGTAGTTATATACAACTTTTTATATAATATTTTCTTATCAATTTATTTTCACGATACAAGATATTATAATCTATTTACGATTTTCCTTGATAATTTTTAATTAGTCAAATTTATAGATTTATTTGGAACATTAATAAAATAACATAAAATAAAATAATATTATATATCTACAGTAAAAGTACAATTATTAGAACTCAATGGTATAATATTGAGTAAATCTTACTTGAAATATTTGGAAGTAATTTTTAAAATAATATTTTATTATGATTATTTAAAATAACCGTCATGAGACGAATTAAATAATTTGTAATTATTTTAATTATATATTTATGGGACGCCTATAAAAATTTATAATGATATTATGACATTAATGACATTAAATTTTAGGTTTGAGCAGTAATTTTCTTAGATAAATTTTGTTTTTATATATAGCCCCTTAACAAGATGTGCACATTTTTCTTAGATTAAAAACGGTAATAAACTTTTCTCTAGTCAGGTCATTTTTCAGATTTGTATATAGTTCACCTTAATATTATAAATGCTAATAAATATAAACAAGTTCTTGTTCTTAATTTTAATACCTTCTTGTAGTTTTTAATTAAACCTATCTACGTTCACGATCGTGTGTACAAAAGTTATTGCATTTTAATTCAAATTCATTTATTCCCTATCACAACTCAGTTGAAGTAGTTAACTCTGAGTTAAAGTATAAGCTAATGTTCCGAATGTTCAATATGCAGGTAGTAAACGCCTGCTTGGTTTATTACCTACTGATTTAATAAGCTAATTTTATTTAATAATACGTATTGAACGATTCAACTGTTATTCTGTTTCAGTTAATTAGATTATAATAATTACATTCAATGTTCATTAAATATCGATTAAATATAATAAGATCATGTTTGGAAAAATTGAAATTCACATAAACGCAATTACGTTCGTATTAATAAGTATAAATTTCAGTTTTGTACAAATATGAGAGATCATGAACCTAACATAACCTAACATAGTTGTTGTGAATTGATAATTAATTTTGGTTTTTGCAGGACATCATGTTTTTGGGACGCAACCATCATAAATTAGCGACCATGTCTAATAGTATTAGAATATGTAGATGCTTAAAAACAAATCCCTCCACTATTCGACATTATGGTATTAGAAGATCCTATAGTCAACTTTCTGTTAGTAGTTTTTTTCGTTCTTCCGATTAATATAAAGCGTTGATTAAACCATTGATAATCATGATATTTTCAGCACATGCAGTTGGACCTGAAACGCGCGTTGCAGTCAACCGATTCACAGTCGGTTAACGGATCTTCGTTTGTAGACAGAACGCAATTGAAATATGCACGGCGACTGGTAATAAAATTGGGCAGTGCCGTAATCACGAGAGCAGACGAACATGGTATTGCCCTTGGTCGATTAGCGTCGATTGTTGAACAAGTACGTGTTGGTTAAACAATAATGTTTATTTGGAAAATAAAGAAAAAAAAAAAATTAAATAAAATAATTATTTATGGCAAATTTTAACAGCATTCTATTCCTTTAAGATAGTGTAATAGTCTTCTATCTTTGTATTTATTGTTTTCCCCAATACTAGATTTCATTTCAAACGTTGACAATTGGCGTTTTATAACATTAAACCGGATATTCGAACCGTGTAAATTTAATCCAATGCGTATAACAATTATTATGATTAAACATAGGTCAATGTTTATTGGTTTTGTCATTTTTGTGAAACATATATTTGATAATGGCATCGCGGTATCAATTCATTTGTTTTTGTCATTATTTCATTAAGAAACTGAACAAAATCGTCATTGTATATAAATATTGCATTTAAGCGAAATTCGAATAGTTCGGTGTAAACATAAACATATTTAAAATAGCAATAACACTTAGAACATTATACTATAGATACTATTTCGAAAGAATTTACTTTTTCAATACGTATTACAATAAATAATAGAATAAAAATTAAAAATGAATACATTTTTAATACTCATAAATGAATGAATAAATAAATAAATAAATAAATAAATTGTTGCAATTTAATTTTTTCATATCCAGTCATAATTTTATTAAATGTATATAAACCCGATGATGTATTTTGAATTCAAAACCAGTCGTTTATTACAAATATAATAATAGTTCAGGCTAAGCTTTTATTTATTTATTTATATATAAACTATTTGTATATTTATTTATATATTATAATAAATGTAAAACTTATTTTTCCAAACAATAATTTTAAATTCTAAAAACGAATTATCTCGTAAAAGTATTGCGCCTGAGTTAACTAAAATAATTTTTAACGTGGAAGTATAGATGATAGTATATTTTTCTTTTTTTAAATAAATACTTGCCATTTTAATACAGTTAATTTTTCTAATAAAATTATTGGTACATTAAAGGTAGCTGAATGCCACCTGGAGGGTCGTGAATGTATCATGGTCACCAGTGGAGCGGTAGCATTTGGAAAACAAAAACTTACCCAGGAATTATTAATGTCACTGAGTATGAGAGAGACGTTATCGCCCAACGATCATGCCAGGAAAGATGTTAGGACATTGTTAGAAGCCAGAGCAGCGGCAGCTGTTGGTCAATCCGGCCTCATGTCTCTATACGATGCCATGTTTTCGCAATACGGAGTGAAGATCGCTCAGGTCTTGGTAACTAAGCCCGATTTTTACAACGACGAGACAAGAAAAAATCTCGTCAGTACGTTGTCAGAACTCATAAGTATGAATATCGTGCCAATCATCAATACAAACGACGCAGTAACACCACCACCACAGGACGACAAGCTCATCAAATCAAAAGGAAAAAAGGTCTGTTATTATTCTTAAATATTTTAATAATTTCATTACAAAACATTAATCTTGTTTCATACGAAACAGAACGTGGAACTTTTTTGAAAAGTTATAAATTATGTTTTTCATTGATTATACTCGTAATATGAGTGAATTTCACATGTTGTAGATTTTAATGAAATCCTTATATATTGGTAATTTTTAATGAGACTAAAATTATAAATCAATAGAAAGTATATAAGTTGACATATTTTGGATGTTGATAAACATATAATATGTAATAAATTAAGCTGTCATACACCAATACAATATTTTCAACAACTTAATATAATTTGTGAAACGTAGAAATTCGGTATCATGTAATGTACCGTAGTTTTCAATCATGTCATAAAAAAACGATGGGTAAACATTTTTTTTTATGCTCTTAATACTACTCGGCGTGTTGGCATGTTTATTTGATTGATATGCCGTATACATTTTTGCGATATAACAAAATAAAAACAATGTATTGGTCGTGATGAGTACTGTTATTTTATTGTACGTTAAATTGTTCTATCAACATTTAATTTTTCTGAATATAATATTACGATAACGTAATACATATTATAATAATGTGATGTAATGTCAAATAATAAAATAATTGTTGTAGGAACATGACGTTTTTGGTGAATGTTTATCCACCTTTTGTTATATATGGTTTAATTTTTTAAAATATTTTTTTTTGAGCTGTTTATAGATAGTAAAAAATTGTATGTTTTCTTTCAAATGTTTGAATATAACATTATGACAAAACGATAAAAATAAAGAATATCTACTTCAACTTAGAAAATGAAATTTATACAAAATTATTTACTTCAACGAATTTCGATTGAACGATATTAGTAATTTAGTTTTTATTCTCTAAATATTGATCATATCGATTCGAAACATTTACTATGTATTTATAATAGATTTTTAAAGGCGTTTCATGATTTCGAAATATTTTAATGAAATTCGTACCGTTTGTACTGTTTATAGGCATTTGCAATTTTGGATTTTCAAAAATTTGATTTGTTTTTTTGGTATAAGTTAATGAGCACTAAAAGTTTAAATTGCTTGATTGAGAAATCCAGTTCCTTTAATGTATCAATTATATTTAGAAATAAAAACAGATTTATCTATTTTACTTACATTAATCTATTGTATTCAGAATTTTTATTCATCCGTCTTTGTATCCCACCCTTTCAAAGAGTTTCGTTCTACTTTGTTTTGATTTTATCCAATAATCGTTAAAAACTATTTATCTAGAATATTATAAATATTGATACACAGGTGATCAGCATTAAGGACAATGATAGTTTGGCTGCTATGTTAGCCGCCGAAGTCAGAGCAGACCTACTTGTGTTGATGTCAGACGTTGACGGCATCTACACGCTTCCGCCGAAACAAGAAGGAGCCAAAATGATTTGGACTTACAACAGCGATATGGTGGACATCGTGCAATTCGGCAAAAAGTCAACCGTTGGTACCGGGGGCATGGATTCCAAAGTAAGCAGCCGTTATAATTAAAATCGCATAAATAATAATTAATGGTATACGATATGGGCTGATCACACAATAGCTTAATGTTTTTACATTCAATTAATTAGTTCCAATAGTATAAATAACAATTATTGTTGACGATCGTACACCGTGGTTTTTTGTGCAGGTTCAGAAAATAATTTACCCTCCCCCCCCTTATCTTTATATAAAGAGTCCGTTGATGAATAATGAGTCGCAAGGATACTACTTGTGGTTTTCAGGTTCAAGCTGCTACATGGGCACTAAACAGAGGTGTGTCCGTAGTCATCTGCAATGGTATGCAAGAAAAAGCAATCAAGTTCATAATGGCTGGAAGGAAAATCGGTACCTTCTTCACTAACGCACCAACTGCCAACACCGCTTCGGTGGAAACATTAGCTGATAACGGTAGGTGGAAATTATCACAATCGATCACTTTGAGTATAGATAAATCATTTTGAACACTATCAAAAATAACAGTCGAGAATACGAGCTAAACAGTATCTCGTTTTAGTAAAAGGCCACGTATATTTACGAGTATTCTGTTGATTAACTTAAATGTAAGAAGTATAAATAAATATTAGAGCTGTAAACTGTAATTAAATAATATTAACATCCGCACGATGACTATATAAATTCAAGATTATTTGAGTATACAAATGTATGGGAATAAACTACTTCAATATCATTCATTACCCAAGATATTGATTAATTTTAACGTGAAAAATCAACCAACGTTCACCTATATATTATAAACAAAGCGTAAATACCATAAAATAAAAACGAGCATTTTAAATATCGGTATGTATAGGCACTTGGTACTTAAATAATATAATAATAATAATAATTATATATTTTTTTTATAATTACTGAATTTGCATTGCTGTTAAAATTCTGGGATTATCATTTTAATCAGTTTAAATTTGGCTCAGTAGACGTAATGAATAATATAATAATTAAATGTATAAAATATATTATGTTTATTAATTTTAACTTTCAATATTTCTCAGTTACTTTATAATTTATTAATAGTAAAATCCTCAAAATTGATTTTGCTGGTTATTTAATTTTCGTTACGAGCGATGATAACAAATGAACATCCAAACTTAGCTGTTATAATCAAACAAAACATACCGTATTTTATTACATCTACCTAATTATGAATCGTTTTAAAGTAAAATATAATTTAGACTCATAGTTAGTTATGATGTAAAATGTATTTTATGATGAGTCAAATGAGTATTCAATGTCAAAACAAATTACGATTTCATATCCACAGCTCGTCATGGGAGCCGAGTGTTGCAGAAGCTACCGGCCGAAGACCGAGCAAACGCAATAAATGCATTAGCCGATTTGTTGATAAGCAAACAAGCGGACATTTTGGAAGCAAATGAAAAAGATATAGCTCAAGCCATTAAGGAAGAAACAGCGGCTCCTCTGATCAGTCGATTATCTTTGACACCGTCCAAACTGAAGAGTTTAGCCACAGGTAAGACTTGTTGTTAGCGGTAAACGCGATTTACTACACGTTTTAACATTGGCTAATTTATCAACGGCCGTTCGATTGCATTCGTGTGTTGCAGGTCTTAGACAAATCGCCGAGACCAGTCTCACAAATGTTGGCAAAGTGCTGAGGAGAACGAAGATTGCTGAAGGTTTAGATTTAGCTCAGGTCACAGTTCCTATCGGTGTTCTTCTTGTGATTTTTGAATCACGACCCGATTGCTTACCTCAGGTACACACGTGTAACGATAGTTTTGATATTTACATAATAAGATAATATACATTCCATAAACTTTCGACCTAAGATTGTGTCATCGAAATAAGATGAATAATTATTATTTTTAATAAAACTTTTTGACATTTTTACCCAACTCTTGAGCATGCTTCAACCTTATGTGTCCCAACGTGTAATAAAATCTCGGCTATCGGTAATTGATATCTTTAATGAAATCTGTATCGGTATCTATCTGAGTCGGGCAAAAACAAATCAAAGTAAAGAATAAAAAATAAAATCATAAATAACTAATTTATTTATGAATTAAGAATAATTGTTTAATCTGGATAACTGTGGTATACTGAATAAAGAATAAAATTATTCTGAATAGTCTTATTCGTGAATAAAATAATTATTCAGATTAAATTTATTCGTTAAAATCATGAATAATATTATTTTTTTTTTTAACTAGGGTATTATACTAATTGTAATCATATAGATGTGAATTGTGCCCTATCAAGACCTACATTTTAGTAACTAAACAGGTTACTAGTAGAAAACTATTATAGAAATGTTATCACCTTTGGCGTTTTTACATTAATCTTTATAGATATATCGGTAAATTACCAAACAAGTTTTTACGTAAATTTCACATAATTTAATAATTAATGATTAAATAATAATTCAAGTAATAACAACAATAATAAAAATTTGTAGTAATAATTGTAACAATTATCATTATAGTAACTATAATAACGTATGTGTATCAAGAATAATAACATTTATATATATATATAAATTATTTAAGTATAAATAATAAGTAGTGTTGTGCTTTAGATAAATTTATCTAGATAATTCACAAAATTTGTATCTAATCATTAGTAATAACTAATCTATAATTTTATCATTCAATATAAAATAAATAACTAAATAAGAAATTTCATTTGTATATTTACTTGCAAAAATAGTTTTACATAGTATTTATTACTAATTATGAACAATGAAAATTTATTATGTATATAGACTAGAGATGTAATGTATATTCAAATAATCGAATTATTTGAATATCAGTATTCGATGCTACAATACCTATTATTATTAAATGTTTTGTGTTGCGCGAAAACTTAAACGAATAATTTTCGTTACGTATTGTATAGTAGCATCGAATACTGATATTCGTATGATCGAATACTGATATTCAAATGGTCGAATATTCAAATATTCGAATTATTTACGCTAGACCTATTCGAGTACGAATATTCGAATACTTGATTAATTCCCATCTCTGATATAGACATATATTAACTACATAATATGCATGGGAGGTGAGAATTATTTATAATTTCATAGTATGGTCCATATAGGAAGTCTCATGCCCGTATTACTATTGTTCTGTGGTATTACGATCACCGAAAGAGCATTTACAAGAATATTTGAACCAGAGTTAACGCACCATAGGTCTAAACTACAGAAATAATAATTATTATCGATAAGAAAATAGCAATATTACAATACGTATTACACTGTACCTACACAGAAATAGTTCAGCCGCCTTAAATTCAATATTTTTATATCAATTATGTCCATTGTTCATGTAATCATGTACTCTAAATAATTGTCATTACCGGACCCCAATTCTATGAATTCGTACTTTGACGTGTCTACATAATATTATTGTACAACAAAATAAATATTAGAAACGTCCGTTATTTATTAAAAACTTCTAGTGTACGCAGCGCACTCTCATCTACGTGTTCAGTATTTATCGTCAGACCGTCTTCATATTTTTCATAATTTTGTCTATGACATTCAATTTTATTTTATTGGTGAAATATTTTATATTTTGAAATGGATCGTTACATAATACAATCATTACCCAAGACCAAAAGAGTTCGCCTACAAACGGATGAAAACGTTGATACCTTATTTAAATATCTAGATAAAAATTATTTTATCTATCTATATCTAGATAATTTTTTTTTATCTAAGCACAACACTGATAATAAGTCTATTATTATTATACATCGTTATTTAGGATTTAAATTTATTATTTATATGATTATAGGGAATAAGGAATAACTGAATAATGTGAATAACGAATAATAATACAAATTAAAATAATGAATAAAAATAAAAATCAATAATAAAATTAAGAATAAATCAATGAAGAATAATTTTTTATTTAAATAATCAATCGAATAATATTTTATTCGACTAATGCCAAACTCTGGTATTTATAGGTGGCTGCGTTGGCGTTGAGCTCAGCGAACGGACTTTTATTAAAAGGAGGCAAAGAAGCATCGCACAGCAACAAAGCGCTCATGGATGTAGTCAAACAAGCATTAGGCACGGTTGGCGCTCAAGATGCCATATCTTTAGTGAGTTAATTTACAATCGTTTTTTCATAAAATATACGATCCCAGATTGGATCGTTACATTTATGCTTGTATATTTGTAACACTGCGTGAAAACTAGACTTACTTAGATTCATCGTGCAATAAAATTTAACATTTCTGATTTTATCGAAATTCGCTTTTTTTCTCCTACTTGTAGTAGCACTTAAGGTATTTTTTTTTTGTTATTATACTGTACGATAGGAAATGGATAGAATCGAAAATATAAGGTTATATTTGTTTCCAATTTTCAAACAAAAACTATAGTTGTTGTTCGACAATTTTCATGCAGATTTACTGTCTGAAAAATGTTAGTCAACAAGAAAAATGTAAATCGATGTTATGTTATTATATATTCCTTGATTTGTTCAGAATAACAAAAAGTGAACGTTATAGATTATAAATAATATAATGTGATGTTTTAAAAAGAACTACAATTATTGAACTAAAATTACCTGAAGAATAATCATTGCAATCGTTTAGAATCAAACTAGATATCATATATATATATATTTACACCATTAAAAATGGTAAAATATCTAAACAGACAGATGGTCAATAGTTATGTCATTAAAATTAAAATCAAAGAACTTGATAGTTCCATGACTTGAGTTTTGCCATAAGCGTTTCTATGAAATTTAGAATACAAAAAGCAAAAACTTAAAAGCGTTTAATTTATTAAGTTTTAATATACCTTAGTAATAAATTTAAAAAATCTTCATTATGATTGAAACACGAGAACATTTAATAGGGTAAAAATACTCAAGTATTATTATTAACATGACGTATTTTTGTGCTCAAATTTTTTTTTTTAAGTAAGAACAAAAGAAAGAATGTCTAAAGATCGTTTATAAAAATTCTATAGTCGATATAGCATCATATAAAATGTGTTTAAACATATGTATGACATATAATATCATGTATCACAATAGTTTGACAAAAACTAGTCGGTCAATTTATGAACAATATTAAACAAATGGGCGATTTACATTTATGCGTGTAGATTTCGACTCGAGAACAAATTAGTGATCTGCTATCCATGGAAAACCAAATAGATCTTATCATCCCACGTGGATCTAGCGAGTTGGTTCGAAGCATTCAAGATCAAAGTGCTCACATACCTGTGCTCGGGCATGCCGAAGGAATTTGCCACGTATACGTTGATAAGGACGCCAACCTGGATAAAGCTCTAACGATAAGTATGTAATCCGAAGTAAACATATTAAATCAATAACGATGGTGATATGTTTTTAATTTGTTTATTTAAGTCCGGGATTCCAAGTGCGATTATCCAGCCGCATGCAATGCTATGGAAACTCTACTAGTCCACGAGGACTTGTTCCACCAACCATTCTTCAACGAAGTTTGTGATATGTTGAAGAGGGAAAATGTAAATATTGTGAAATATATATACATTGTTTAAACATAACTATTGTAGAAGTACAATTAAACGCCTACAACGTGTGTTTTATTTTTGTACATAAGTATCTTTTTACGATGTGTACACTGTAATATAACTGTAATATAATCGGGAATTGTACAGTAATATAATTTTTTCGATACAACTGTTGTTGACGAATATTAGTATAGAGATTACGTAAATGGAAATGTTTTCAATTATTTTTAATTTTAATTACTCATTGTTTACGAATTTTGAAAACGGTTTACAAAACTTTCGAACAAACGATTCATAATGTATTTGAATCAATGGAGTGCTGTCGAATACGTGCTCAAAATTTTACACGTATTCATCATAAAGCAAACATTACCTTTTTTTTTTTTTTATATTAATTTCCATTTAACTAAATTCAATAAAAGCTTTTATATTTGAATAAATTATGAGAAATTTATGAAGACCATTTTATTGGGGTCTCGAATTCACTGCAAATTATTTCTTCTGGAAATATTCCACGTCTAAACATATATTATCTGTAGTGTGACATTTTTACTATGATTATTTCGGATTTATTATTTAGAAAGTATGATTTCAATATTAAATGTTGACACTTTCCATGATATATTTCGGGATAATACCGTAGTAAAGAAAATATAAAAATGATGTTGATACGTATGGATTTGACATTTAACCCTCGACCGTATTGATATTCAGTTTAAATATTTATATTCATCATACGTTTTATAGGTGCAACTATTTTCCGGTCCAAGACTGTCGAAACGGCTAACTTTCGGTCCACCCAGGGCCAAGTCACTGAAACACGAATACGGCGAGTTGGCTTGCGCTATTGAGTTAGTTGCTGACCTGGATTCCGCTGTTAATCACATACATACGTATGGAAGCGGCCACACAGAAGTTATCATCACTGAAAACCGTATGACGTTATTATTAGTATGCTTTAATACAAGTATTAATATTATTTATTATTTTTTCTTCGAACAAATTAGCTGATGCCGCTTCAAAATTCCAAAGAGATGTCGACAGTGCCTGTGTGTTCCACAACGCGAGTTCAAGATTCGCTGATGGGTTTAGATTTGGTTTAGGTAAGTTTTCAATTAACTGTAGCTTATAATTTTTAAAATTATTACAAATTAATGTCATGAACGTGCATTGTAAAAATTAAAAATATATTTATTGCTACAGATTTGATTCCAGTTAATGTTAATAATATTATAATTATTATTTAGTATTATTATTTAATTTAATATAAGTAACGTCGATTGGTATTTTTACTTGAAACTTAGGTAAAGAGCAGGGGTGGCCAAAATAAATAGGTTTGCAAGCCACAAGAATAAATACAATAATACCAATAGTCAAAATGTTTATAGTGTTTAACTATTATGTTTAACATATTATATAATTTGATAATTTTTTTATAAATTTATACTTAAAAATTCAAATTCATAATAATAACAATGTTTCAATTTAATTTTAATTTTATAAATAAAATGCGAACCGTATCTGATAATGACAAGAGCCAAATATAGTTCATGAGCCGTAAGTTGGTCACTCTTGATATAGAAAATTGAAGACAAATAAAAGTGAAACTAATAATATAATAATAACAATAACTTAATAATAAGTTTAAAATTATCTAGATTCAAGTTGAAATGTACCTAAATAATTGCAACATCTGTCTGTCTCTCTCTCTTTTCCTCTTTTACTTTTCATTAAAATTTAAATTAATACAATTTTTAAATAAATATCTATTTAATATTGTTAATTATGTCACAATGAATTATTACATATATATATATTATATGTTACCGGTTGTGCCATAATCGGTAGTAATATTTTAAATTCGTGTTGTGTATCTTTTTTTTTCGTATTTTAATTTTAGGCGCTGAAGTTGGCATTAGCACAGGCAGGATACATGCTCGTGGTCCCGTTGGTGTTGAAGGACTTCTGACCACTAAATGGATATTGAAAGGCGATGGACACGCAGCGTCCCAATTCGCCGAAGGTGGCGATAGGACCTACTTGCATGAGCATTTGCCCATCGATAAATAACCACTATCAGGGTCATCGATAACCAGTCTGACAATGAAATTTCGTCGGCTGTTTCGTGTTCTAATCACGAAGGTGTTTTTCAGCACTAAAACCTAACGATAACAAATTACTATTTCAGGATATACCTACATCGATATGTTTATCATATTAAAATGTTAAAATTTTATTATTTCAAACAGAGATATCAGTCATTATTTATGGTTTTTAAAATGATGTATATTATACATTGTATATAATACGTATTAGTATACAGCTGTTTTGATTTTGAGGTATTTTATTATGTTGACCATTTTGTTATGAACTAATATCTAAATTGTTTTATTATTAAATTATTACAAATTTTATGAAAAACCTAATGTAAAATATTTTTTAGATTTTTTTTATTAATCGATTATACTATTTACTTGCAGAAATAAAAATGTTCTGAAAACCAACACTATGCTATTTTTATATTACATTTACGCGAAATGTTGTTAAATTTAACGGTGTGAACATATTTTTATCTTCATTAGTGATAATAGAGATCAGTTTTACTTATAAGACTAATCAAATATTATCATAGACTTCTAACATATTTGTTTTTATTTTAAATATAATAAAAGAGGATAAATTTCGAAATAAATTTAAAAATTCGCTGTAAAATATAATATTAATTTAGCAGTTGCCTCAAAGTTATGTTGATTGGATATGTTGTATTATTGATGTTGTATCAAATCTAGATTTCTTTTCAAATTGTAGTAGATAATTAATATATCTACTGATATATGATGATGACTTTGATGACTTTGATAGCCAGTGCTAGGCGTTGTATTTATTTTAAAAATAAATTCAGTTAAATAATAAAATTATAAAAAAACTTTCAGCCTTTATTTTATAAAGCATTGGATGATGACGGAAATGTTAGAAATTCTTAAAAAGTGTTAAAAAAACTGGGATTTTTAAAGGTTTAGATTTAGCTCAGGTCACAGTTACAAATTAAGTTTAAAAATAAAAAAATATACTTTGGTAGTAATTTAATTATATTAATCTATAGGTTTTTGAATGGAATAGTAATTAATGTAAAACAGATACTTCATATAATAAATTGTTAAGGTAAGAATTTTACGAGTCATTCATTTATACATTTATATTTTTCAGATGTTAAATAAATTTGTTGTTAAAATATTCTTTGAAAAATAGCAAACATTTTTATTTGATGAAATACTATTCTTAATTAATGTATAAAAATAATTAAAAACATTTTTTTGTACAGCCTATATAAATCAAAATGAGAGGAGAATAAAATGTGTACTTGTTTTTATCGAATATGTTTTTAAATTTTTTCTTAAAACATTTTATTTTTTTAATAGTTCTCTTAAAAATATACTTTTGAGAAAATGTAAATGTATATTTTACTGAAATATTAAAATATTTTGTAAAAAAATAACACAATGAACGGCTTGAATAAATATTCGATTTATGTCAAAGCATTAATATAAAATACTTCAAAATGGTTAAGTAGCATAATTTTTATTCTCATTTTTTGGGTAGAAAAAAATCATTAAAATAGCCATAGAATTGTAGTTTTAGTATCCATTATCTATAATTTAAGCAACACGTTTATTTTGATTGATTCGAACGTAGCATTACTGAAAATATATTAAACTATTAAAATGAATTTCACTATCAGAGATTTTCACCACCGTATATTACATTACCCACCCCATCGGTGGGTAATGAGATTATTTAGCAGTTCAGTTTTAAGACATAACATTTTTATAAAAATGAAATAAATGTCAGATTTCCAAGTGTATGGAAAATTGATTCAGAAGCAAAATAACAATCCAAAAATTCCAATCGCAAATAAAGTCGAGTGTAATATATTACTAGTCGGCTTTTTCAATTGAAAATTTCCCGAAAGTTTTCTGACCGTTTTTTATGAACTGATTCATAACGTGTTAACCATGTTTTGTCTATAAAAACAAATATATGTATAAAAATCATTGACACTGTTTTATTTATTTTTTTTCGCTTCATCTGCGAAACGTTAACGTTTAACGTCATTGTTCGTATGGGGAACCGATAGCAAATTTAAAGAGGAATAATTTTTTTTTTTTTTTGGGGGGGGAGTACTGAATCTGGCATTATTAATAATACAGTCGACTTTCGGTAACTCGAACCTTGATAACTCGAAATTCTTGATATCTCGAATAATTAAAATTCCACTTCAAATGACACTTAATGTTTAAATAATCTCGAAAATCAATTTGACAAGTTTTCAATACCTCGAATTTTCTTATACAAATTCAGTACTAAAAATTGTTTATTAAGGCAATTATTTTTCTTATGACTTATTATTTTTCAAATGTATACCTGAAAAAACATTCATATTTAAAGGCTAATCTTGTTCCGGTGGAAAACATAGCAAAGAAAGAGTAACATTTTTTTTAGGAGCAAATATGCCGGGCACAGAAAAATTAAGACCACTTTTGATTGAGAAGTCGAAAAACCAAGATGTTTTAAACAAATTAAATCATTACCATTAGATTATTATGCAAACAAAAAATCCTGGATGACATCTGACATTTTTAATTGGTGGTTAATGAAATTAGATAAAAAAAATGGTCACTGAGTAAAGGAAAATCTTACTTATTATTGATAATTGTACTGCAAACAATTTAACTTCAACTTTTAATGCTATTCAAGTGCAGTTTTTATATCCTAATACTACGTTTGTATTATAGCCATTAAACCAAGGCATAATAACTAATTTTAAAATATTTTACCGAAATTATTTATTTAAACTACTAGGTATTTTACAAAATAGAATTTAGAACAATGTATTAAATAAACAAAAACAATTAACTTTACACCAATTCTTTAAAAATAATAAAATGTAAGTAGGAATGCAAGAAAACATATTTTTTTATTTCTTTAATGTAAAAATGATTTAAAAATAAAAACATACTTTCTAAAAGTTTTTGATAACTCGAAGTTTTTGGTAAGTCAAATTTTTATTTTTCCCCTTGAACTTAGAGTTACCGAGAGCCACCGAGTTACATCTGTAAACGGGGAAACTTTTTAAAAACTGTCAAACATTATGTTCGGCTGCGACATCGCGCTCGCGTGAAATGCTGTTGGTTGGAATAAGATAAGATAGTGTTCTTCACTTTCACACGTCACCGGCGTCGGACGGGCAGGTCTTCGGGGGAGTTGTTTAATGGGTAACACGTAGATTTTTAATTCGTGGGTAAAACACGATTGCATGCGTTCGTTATCGGTGATACCTTTTTAAGTTACACGATTTTAATTATAATTATTATTATTAATATTATTATTTTAATTATTTTTAATTAATAAATTAAACAAATCATAATACAATAAAACATACTATTTTCTTTTTTTTATTGTTTAATTTTTTTTTCATTAGGTACATCATTTTTAAAATTAATTTTGCTAAACTATTTTGCTGCCCCTAAGACTTGGCGCCCATGGACATATGCTTATTCGTGTCCTCTTTAAATATGGGCCTGATTATCGTTATTTTGAAATAATTGACTATTGACTATATATTGACTATTGTCGATTGTTATCACATGACCATACAACACAAATTTTAGGGAAACCGTCAATCATAATGTACTATTGTAAATAATATTATGTCGATTACGTATATTTACTTATTTTTACTTACTGATAATAAGTGACTTACAAACAAGCATTATTTTTACAAAGTATTGCCATCATGGAATTTTAAAAATTTGAGTTATAAGTATCAATACCTTTCAGAACGTTTGGAAAATTACAAATTCATTTTTCTTAATAAAACATTTTTTTTCTAGTGTATTTTGAATAATTCATTTTTTTAAGGTACATAAGGTAGGATAACTACGTTTGAAATTAATCATGTATTCATTTCGTGGGGGGGAGGGGGAGGTTGAACCCCCAAAACCCTTCCCTGCGTCCGCCACTGGTTGATGCCAATTTTCATACCGGTATTGGTGTATACCACATGCCCGTACGAATGAATTTGAAAAATTCAATAAATACTTTGTGTTTTATCGTTTTTATTACTTATGTTCATTGTTAATGATATCAAATATATCAGATATAACGAAATTTCGTTATTTCCAATATATTATACGGTATTTTCCGAGTTTTAGTAAAAGCAGTGGGTTTTAGATGTCAAGGATTCCAAATTTAAGCATTTTCAAATAATTTATTAATAATAGTTTTATTTATTTATTAATTACTTTTCTTTTATTTAGTTATCTTCATTTTACTTATTATTTTATTATTAATTTTACTTTTTAATTATTATAGAACTATTAGTTATTAGTACATGTATATATATTAGATATAATATGGTGAAATTAGTAAATATGGTAACGTTGCATACAATCCCATACGCAATCGTATCCTACCCTAATTCATTATGTAGTTCAACACTCGAACAACGTGATAAACCTTATCATCATCGACTTTTGTGACCAGGCAACGTGCCAGGGCAGTCAGCGGCAACAGGCAGTTGCGTAACTGAGAAAAAACCTAGGGAGGGGCAATATAATATATTTATTATTACCAAAACTCTGACATCCCTCCCCCTCACCATTTAAAACATATTTTTATTGTATGTATTTTATACACTATATCTAATTGTTTGATTTTACATAAGTCTTTTAACTCATTTTATGGTTTAGATAAACATAAATTGTAGGTAGCATGTAATAGGTACCAATATTGTTAAATAATATCCATAAGAGTTCATTAATAAAAGGTGCTATTTGTACTGTTGGATTATCTGGGGAGTCGGGGGGGGGGACGCAAAATTATACCTTTATCTCTCAAAAAATGATCAGAGGGGGCACTTTACCCCACAATTACGCCACTGGCTACAGGTATTGAACTCTATATGTTATAATAATATATATATATGTGAACGCACTATAGACGAGTGCAGCCGTAGAACAGTGCTTCTTAACTTGGTAGCCGTGGTCAAACAACTAGGGGGGGACGTCAAGTATTTATTTCGTTCAGAACTCTTGAAACCGAATTTAATGAAAAAGAACTTATTAATGTTGGTGAAGACGACAGCAAGAGTATCCTGTAATTTCGAAAGCGAAGCCCAACCGTCGTCACATTAATAATTACAACATTTTATTATTATTATTATTAACCTAGCCTTTGTTTGAAACCAAATCAAGATTATTACTGAACAAAAACGATTTCAGCACCCCCAGTATTTAGGCTCTAGTTGCGCCCATGCCGGTGACGTGAGACGAATACAACCACGAAACGTGTTGGCCTCCCTCCCTCCCTGGAACAGCCGTTTTTCATTCGTTTAGATGACGCTTGTAGCGGGATCGGCGATA